TATAACCACATGGTTCTTCAGTTGTCTGAAAAACTGGTCAATAGTCACTGTAGATTTACTTTTGTTTTAAGGCTTTTTTCCCCCTCAGATTTAATTATTTTGATTATGTCTCTATTTATGTAGTGGTTTTAAAGTTACTTAATTACTTTTCATGTCTGAAGTGCAAATTTAGGAAAAGTGAATTGCTAAGTAGAGTCGACCTTTACAGTGAGCGTGGGTGAGAGTGGCGTGGCTGGTGCGGACGTGGCTGGCGATCCCTCTGGAGCTGTCAGGAAGGGCTGTCCCACCTCTCTGTGCCAAGAGTCTACACGTGCTCTTTCTCCCGCTCACTTTGGACCTTTCCTTTGTCACCCGTCGCTCTCAGGGAACTGAGGAGGAGTGTGGAGAGGGACTCCAGGTATGCTCGTGGTGCAGGAAGACGCGGTCCCCTCCAACCTTTTGGAAAAGAGCTCTGTGCCTAGTACACTAGTGCAGCTGCCTATTTCCCTTACTTCTGTAGCATGTTTTACAGATAGATATCAGATGTTCTAGAATAAAACTAGTTTTTATCTGCCAAAATGAGTTAATACTCTGACAGACTAACCAAACAGAAAGAACTTGTTTTCATGTGGATATTCTTTTCTTGCATTTTGTTTTTTCTTTTTATTTGTACATGTTTGCAGTACCTGTTGAGTACATCGTGTGGAGTTGGTTTTCTTGCAGTTTGAACAACTTAAACCAAACATGTTTATTTTTAGGAACATCTATTAACATTTTATTTATATTTGTTATTATTTAAGCTTGACACATTCCACTCAAATTTTCAGATCTCAAAACTGTATTACTTAAAGCAGTTGACTAGATATCATTTAAATTCCACTGGGGCCAATGCTAGTATTTAATAAGGAAAGCTAGTCATTTTCATGTAAAAGTATATGCAGTTGGCTCATTCTGCCCACCAGTTCTACATCTGTCTAGTGAGCATATCTCAGATAAAGCAGGTGCATGGGCTAGGGGTTGATCCCCTGGGCCTCCCGTACCAGCTCTGCCCTCGGGGTGTGCTGAGATGGCAATGGAGTCTGGACGTGGTAGGCAGGCCTGTAGTCCCAGCTCTTGGAAGGCTGTAAACGGGCGGATCACTACGAGTCCGATCTACTAGTGAGACCCTCAACACCCTGTAGACCCTTCCCTAAGATACAAAAAAAAAAAAAAAAAGAAAAAGAAAAATCAGAAAAGTCATGTCTGTACTGAGTTGTTTCTTATCATTATTCCCCAAGCAGTAAAACAGCCCTAATGATATTTATGTAACGTTTACATAGTTTTATGTGTTTCAAGTAATCTAGAGCTGATTCAAAATACGGAGGAGAGGCTGGGGGAGTGCTCAGGAGAAAATGCGTGTGTAGCACTCATTAGGTCCTGGTTTCAGTTCCCATCACAATAAAATAGAATATCAATCTGTAGTAGATATTGAGGGGTGACAACTCTTCCCCCATAGAGGCAGATGTTTTCTTTTAATTAATTGCATTGAAATACATTTGTATACACATATGTTGTTTTTGTCCATTTTAATCAGAAGTTAATTATTTATTAAGATACTATTTTGGGGGAGGATCAGTGTCAGGTTTGGGGCCTAAGAAAAATAAGAACAAGACAGAACAAAATCATTAAAACTTTTTATGATGTGTATTTCTTTATGCACTTGCTTTTGAGTTGGATACTTAGCTGAACTTTTTTAAAGTTACGACTGTTGAACATTTTATGGAAAAACTCACCATTGTAACTGTTCTAAAATGCGCTGTTCAGGGCTTTACGTACTTTTACAGTGGTGTGCAGTGACACGATGATCCTGTTCTAGAACGTTCACATGTCCTCAGCAGAAGCCCCGCACTCCTCAGGCAGTTACTTCTTTCATCTTCTTCTACTTCTTGGTGAACACCAGTCTGTCTTTTATTTCTGAATGAATTTTCCTATTCTGGATATTTTGTGTAAATAAGCCATGCAGTAGGTGGCCTTTGCTACCTGGCTTCTTTCATTTAGCATAATGTGTTTACAGTTTATCCATTTTGTGGTTTTTATTGGTATTTCATTCCTTTGTATAGACACAAAATATTCCATTGTATGGACATACCACATTTTGTTTACCTGTCAGCAAGCAATTATATATTTTCAGTTACTGTGAATACTAGTGCTATAAATATTGATGTACAAATTCTTCTTTGAATGCTTTTCAGCTTTCTTCATTAGGTAGGAGTGAAATTACTGGATCATATAATAATATTATGTAGAACTTATTGAGGAATGATCAGTCTGCTTTTTCACAGTGACTCTGCCATTTTAAATCCCCAACAATATATGTAAGAGTTCTAATGTTTTTATATCATGACCTATGCTTGTTTCTATTTTTAATTTTCTTTATTTTTTTTGGTGGAACTGGGGATTGACCTCAGGCCCTTGTGCTTGGCAGGGAAACACTTATTCTACTAAGCCATCTCCCTGGTCTCCTTGTTTCTATTTTTTAAAAAAATGGTCATGCTAGTGGGTGTGAAGTAGTATTTTCTATTCTGTATTTTAGGGAAGGGTCTAGAGGGTGTTCAGGGTCTCACTACTAGATCAGACTCATAGTGATCTGCCTGTTTACAGCCTCCCAAGAGCTGGGATTACAGGCATATGCCACCTCGCCTAGTCTTAATTGCCATCTCAGTAAGCTCTCTGGAGCTGGCATGGCAGGCCCAGGGATTGAACCCTGGCTCCTGTGCTTGCTTGCAGGTACTTTAATCTGCTGAGTTATTTGGCCCGTGAAATAGTAGTTTCATTGTGCACTGTGGTTTTCTTTTGCATTCCCTAGTGACTAATGTTGCTGAGCACACTCTCTTGTGATCAATGACTCATTGAATGTCTGGATAAATATTTAAATCTTTTGCCCATCTTTTAAAACTGTGCACTTTTTGTTGTCGAGGTGTAGATATTCTTTGTATTCTGAATATCAGAGCCTCGTCCTGTACATGGTGTGATTACACGTTCTTCCAGTATATGGGTTATGCTTTCACCTGCTGTCTAGATGATGTTCTTAGGTGCACCAGTTTCAAATTTTGACAAAGCCTGTTTTTTCTTTCATTCCTTTGTCTGTGTGAGCTGAGAAACTGTACCAAATCCAAAGGCATAAAGATTTCCTGCAGTGTTTCCATCTAATAATTTCGTAGTTTTAGCTCTTATATTTAGGCCATTCATTCAGAGTGATGTAATTTTGTTTATTACATGTGATAAGGTCACAGCCTCATTCTTTCCGTGGCTGTTGTATCATTCAACTCCCATTGCTGAGAAGGTTTGTCGTCTGTGAATGACCTTTGTACTCTTTGCGGACAAACACGGTACCATGTCGATGCGTGCATTTCCAGGCGTCCAGGTGTCTTCCAAAACCTAGGTCTGTCGTCGTACCAGTACCATGTGGTTTGATTTCTTTGCTTTGTAGTAAGATTTGA